CTCAAACTCTTGAGCGAGCTCTTAACCAACTGAGCCACTCAGCCGGCCCAACTTCATGCATTTTTTTTTTTTTTTACTTTAAAAACAACTTTAAGATATAATTTATATACCATAAAATTCATGCATTAGTGATTTTTAAAAATATTTTTAAATTTTTTAAAATTTACTGTGTTATACAACTATCATCATAGTCCAATTTTAAAACATTTCCATCACACCAATAAGATCCCTTGTATCTGGCAGTTAACCTCTGTTGCAAGCCCCAGGCCACCACTAAGCTACTTTCTGTCTTTAGTTATTTGCCTTTTCTGGACGTTTCATATAAATAGAATCGTGCAATATGTGGTCTTTTGTGTCTGATTTCTTTTACTTACACATCATTTGGGGGGTTCATTTGTGTTGTAGCATATAGTTCATTCCTTTCTAATGGTGAATAGTGTTTCCAGCTTCATGTATTTATTTATTTATTTTTAAAGATTTTATTGGGGAAGGGGAACAGTGTTGGGAATTGGGGGAGGGAAACAGCCAAGTTGTTGTCCTTCAATCTTACTTGTAGAGGGCGCAGCTAACTCAGCTCCAAGTCCAGTCACCATCCGGCTGCCCCTTGGCAGCTTGCGGCTGCTCAGCTCAAGGTGCCATGTTCAATCTTTGTTGCTGGGGGGCGCAGCCCACCATCCCATGCAGGAGTCGAACTGGCAACCTTGTTGTTAGGATCATGTGCTCTCACCAGCTGAGCCATCCTGCCAACTGTTGGCAGCTCAGCTCAGGCGCACCTCACTGGCCCATGTGGGAATCAAACTGGCAACCCCATTGCTCAGAGCTCACAGTCTTAACCAGCTGATCCACTTGGCAGGCCCCTGGCTTCATGTATTTTTGAGGCTCTGTTAAGAAGGCCTTCCATATTTTTTGTTTTTCTAGTAAATTGACCCAATTATTAGGAAATATCCTTTTTTATTTCTCATAATAATTTTGTCTAAAATCTATTTTATCTGATATTAATATAGCCCACTACATACTTATGTTGACTCATTACATAGTACATCTTTCCCATCCATTTATTTTCAATTTATCTGTGTGTTTATTACAGTTTAGCTTTTGTCGACAGCATATAGCTGGACTTGCTTTTTAAACACATCCATTCTGCAGTTTCTGTCTTTTACTTGAAATGTTTATTCCATTAATATTTAATGTAATTATTGATAGAGTTGGGTTTGGGGCTTCCATTTTATAATTTGTTTTCTGTTTATTTTCCTTTCTGATTTTGTTCCTCTGCTCCTCCTCCTGCTTTTTAAAGAAAGATACTATTTGAATATATCTGTTGTTTTTAGTGGTTGTTCTGGAGATTACAATCTTCTCTTTTCACAGTGTACTTACAGTTAATAATATTACTATTTCACATAAAACAGAGAGAGCTCATAACTGTCTAGGTACATATTACTTCTGCCCCTCCACCCTATCTTGCCCTTTATGCTAACAGCTATTATCACATTTACATATATGTTATGTGTAACATGTTATATATGTTCTGTTATGTGTATAACAGAACAATGTTATAATGACCATTCCTGATGCTCTTCATTCTTTCTTGAGGATTTGGATTTCTATCTGGTATCATTTCACTTTGGCTTGAAGAACTTCCTTTAACATTTTGTGTAATACAGTTCTGTTAATAATGAATTCTCTTCATTTTGCCTTCATTCTTGCAGGATATATTTATGAGATATAAAAATTCTGCATCAGTAGTTTTTTCTTTTATCACATTAAAGGTGTTCCATTGTCTTCTGGCCTCCCTGATTTCCAATGAGAGGTCAGCTTCTAACTGAGTCATTATCTTGTAATGTGTCATTTTTATCTAGATGTTTTTAAGATTTGCTTTTTAACTTTGGCTTTCAACAATTTGACTATGATATGCCTTGGCTGGCCTTCATTGTATTTATCCTGCTTGGTGTTCATTGAGGATCTTGAAATCTATAAATGTATGTCCTTCACCAAAGTTAGGAAATATTCAGCCATTGTTTTTCATATTGTTTTTCTGCCCTATTCGCTCTTCTGTTCTGGGACTCAAATTACATGTATAATATTATTTAACAGGTCTCTGAGCAGCTGTTAACTTTTATGTCAATCTTTTCTTTATTCTCATCGGATAATTTCTGTTGATCTCTCTTCAAGTCCACTTTCTCTTCCTCTGTCATTCCCAGTTTGTTGTTAAGTCCACCCAGTATATTAATTTTTCAGTTCTGGAATTTGCACTTGATTTTTGATTTTTTAATATTGTTTCTATTTCTCTGCTGAGATTTCTTAGGTTTTGGTTCCTTGTAAATGTATTTTACTTTACTGAATATAGTTATAATAGCTTCTTTAAAATCCTTGTTTACTAATTCCAACATCTGAGTCACCCCAGGAATGGTCTCAGTTGTTTTATTTTAAAAATGTCTTTGATTTCCCTGGTTCTTCACATATTGTAAGTTTGGATCGTATCTAGGTCGTTGAGAATATTAAGTCTGGGTTCTGTTATTTTTCTTCAGTGAGTGCTGAGTTTCTTTCATTTTAACATGCAGTCATCTTGGTTGGACTCACACTACAAACTCTGTTGCTTAGGCAACAGCTTGAATCTTGGGTCAGGCCTTTTGTCTCTAACCAAGTTGCTGTGTGTGTACTATGGGCATGTGTGGCTCAGGGTCAGCCAAAGATGTGGGTGGGCAGGCAGAACTGGGGCTATCCTCTTAGATTCTTCCTCTTCTTTCCAGTGGACATGGTGTCTCAGATTCATTTTTCTGGCTCCTACCAGAAAGACTGCGTTTCCCACCCCCACAGATCTCCAGCTAAAGGAAACATGAACTTGTTCTGTGCAGCTCCTCTCATCCAAGTGTGGACTCTCCATCTGCTTGTTTGTGTTTACTCTCCGAGGCCTCCAGGTAGCTGCTTTTAGTTTATAGTTACCTGAGTTTATAGTTTTCTGGAAGAGAGTTGGAATGGCAGGATCTTAGTCATTACAGAATGCAGTCTTTTGAACTATCATTTTAGTTAAGGGGGAAACAGACAATAAATAAATACAAATAAAATATTTATAATGTTAAGTACAGTAAGGTCTGAGTTAACATCAGTAGGCTCTGACTTTCAGGAAAACCATGTATAACGAAGCCAGTTTTACCATAGGTTAATTGATATAAACAAGAGTTAAGTTCCTACAGTATCTCATCAATGTTATAATGAAATTATGTTGAACGAAACCACGTTATTCGAGGACCTGCTGTAGTTTGTATTGGTTATCTGTTGCTTTGTTACAAACCATCCCCAAACTCTGAGACTTAAATCGACTATGATTTATTATTATAATTCATGCAGCTGTGTGTTGGCTGAGGGTCACCTGATCTAGGCTGGACTTGGCTGAACTTGTGTTTGAATTTCAACTGGCTCACTCATGTGCCTGTAGGCTTGCTGGGGGTTGGCCCTAGGCTGGGTTTGGCTGGGCACCTCACTGAGAACAACTCTGCTCCATTGGTCTCTCGAATTCTTCCTAGGACAGTGGGCTAGAAGGGGCCGGTTCTTCTCATGGTGATGACAGAGGGCAAGAGAGTGATTTCACAAGTGCTTGTTCAAGCTCCTGCTTATAACGTGTCTTATCACATTCCACTGGCCAAAGCGAGTCACATGGCCAAACTCAGAATCAAGAGTGGGGAATCATACCTCTTGATGAGAGGATCTGTAATGTCATGTAGCAAAGAACCTAATATGGCCAGTGGTAAAGATTTGCGGCCTTTCATGCATCCTACCATAGCAATAATGGGTGCCTTAAAAAAAATTAAAGTAGGATGATAGAGATGAGGGTGTATGTGTGTGTGTGTGTGTTGTATGTATAAATATATACAGGCCTTTTTTAATACAAAATTGGAATTAATTTATATATAATTATATAGCCTACTTTTTTCTTTAATATGATACCACAGTGTAGTAAACTGTTCCCAACTCTTTGACCACTTTAGGCCATTTAAAATTTTCTACTCCTCCCTGATTTGTTGAGTGCTTACTTCTTAAAGCACTTGACCTGTATTATCTTATATTATCCTTGAAACAACCTTATAAAATAGATACCCTGACTGTCCTCACTTTACAGATGGAGGAAACTGAGGTACAGGGCGGCTAAGTGACAGGCCTTCACTTTATAAGGGGTGGTAATAGGATATCGAGCTGGGCAGTCTCAACATTCCGGGGTATACTTATAAAAGTATACATGATTGTTCATATCTCCGGATATTTCTTCAGGTAATTTCTTATTAGTGGGGTATTGGGTCATAGGGTAATTGTCACACTTAAACGGAGTGTTATTTTCATTTTGCTGCCAGTGGACTGAGCACTTCAAGGTTGTTGCTTGAATGGTTTGTCCCTCCCACTTTGAGTCAGTAAAATGTTAGGCTTGCTGGTCAACTGCTGGAATGTAAACCCTTACTTGGCGAGTTTCAGTAAGTAGGAGACCCAGAATTGGTGTGGGGAGAGCTGTGGAGGGCTGAGGAATAGGCAGGGCCAGTGAACCAGCTTGGCTAAGAGCAGCCCGCAGTACGGTGCGCCTGTGTGAGCCACGGCTCCAGGCCAGCTCCAGGTCCGAGTGTCATCACAGACGGCACAGGGTTCTGCAAATGATGCCCACTTCTTGTGACTTTCCAGCCTGTCGCCCGTTAGGCTACCGTGGCCCTTATGCAGTTTGAATGACAAGGCTCAGGAGAGAGGGGTTGATGTCAAGGGAATTTGGGATTTTCTGTAGATCGGGTTGTTTTCAATTATTAAAAGTTCTGAATCAAAGCTGGAGTAGAGATAAGGTTAATTTGAGGATTTGGGATTTTCTGTAGATTGGGTTGTTTTCAAGGTAACTCTGATTGCCAGTGAGTATACAAAGCCACACACGACTTTTACTTCAGTTATGGTTTTGGTTACTTACAAGTGTTCACAAGATACTATATCCGTTTATTTTGTGCCTTATACATTTTTTTTTCTTTTTGCTTCAGGTTAGTAGCAAAGATGAAGATTTTCTTGACCTTTCTGTCGATGTGGAGCAGAATACATCTATTACCCACTGTCTAAGGTAACTTCACGAACTCTGACTGTGGTCTGAGCTTCTGATCAGGCTAGTAAATAAGTGGGGAAAGATACCCTGTGTTTCTTCAGGAGATAATCTTCCTTTCTGTTAAACCAATATACTTGGTGTGATAAAAAAATGTGAATGTTTAAATGAAAAAAATTTATTCCAGTAAAAGACACATTGCCATTAATACCCCTCAAAATACTCCCCCCTGGCTTCAAACACACTTATCCCATCTTTCTTGCCACTTTCTGAAGCAGTTCTGGCAAGTCCTCTTTCATGAGTTTCTTTAGTTGCACTGTAGTGGCTGCCTTGATGTCCGGAATTGATTCAAAATGTTTCCCTTTCATGGTCATTTTGACTTTGGGGAAGAGCCAGAAGTTGCACGGTGCCAGATCCGGTGAATAAGGTGGATGAGGACACACCGTAATGTTTTTATTTGACAGAAATTGCCGTATACCAGAAGCGATGTGTGACACAACATTGTCATGATGGACGATGAAGTAAAGATCTCACAAAAGAGGGCTTCCAGAACAGCTTCAGAAAGTGGCAAGAACAATGGGATAAGTGTGCTCAAAGCAAGGGGGGTGTATTTGGAGAGTGATTAATGGTAATGTGCCTTTCACTGTAATAAGTTCTGTTTTATTTAAACATTCACTGTATTTGTACCTCGAAATCCTATTTTCTATTTCTTATTTTCCAAGAGAGTAAAAATAAGTGTATGTGGTCTGGAGAAGAGCCTTGCGGAGAAGAGAGAGGCTCAAGTGGAAGCCATTAGTCATTAAGTGTAAAAATAAGTTTTTAATCTTTAATAAAGATATATTAAAGAGGCTTTCCTCTCTCTCTCTCTCTCTCTCTCTCACACACACACACACACACACACACACACACACACACATACACACAGAATCACACAAGTGAATAAATGCCTGCCATTACTTTCTTTCTAAGCTATCTATTTTATCCTTTTAAGAATGCAGTTTGAGCTGAGAACCAATGAGGGAATTGCCTTTTCCTCCATCTTTCAGCATTGTATGGAGATCATTCATGAAAAATTCCTCCTCATTAGGGTTGAGTGGAGGTAAGAAGCCTGGGTGTAAGGACAGTACATGTCCAGGATAAGTATAGATATTGTATATTGAAAATATGCTCAAAGTTGATATAAAGATACGGTTCCCTTTTCCCTTGATTCACTCCCTTCTTCGCGCTCCTCTTTTCAACAAGAGATTATGAATGCTTATAGTTAACCTGGCCCCGTTCTGGACACTGGAGATAGAGCGAGCATCAGATACGTATCTCGCAGTGCTTACAGCTCTGGTGGAATCCACAGACGGCGATTGGTGCTTTGAAGGAAATGAAAAGGTCTAGAGAGTGCCTGGTAGTGGAGGTGCCAGTGTAGACCGAGTGGTCAGGTGGGCCTCCCCATTGCTTAGGGTGCCGCAGTTCAGAGACAGTTTATAGTGTCATAGCAAAGCACTGTCTGTTTTTATCAGTGAGAATCAGGTGACAGAATTGTCCTTTCAGGAGTGCAGGTTACGTGGAACTTCTTAGAAGTAGTAGATTAAAGGGACTTGCTGTGGTAGTTGACTGTTAGAAAGTCAACTTTCAGGGCAAAGCCACCAACTCCAACATGGAAGAACCTCTTGGTTCATCTGGGTGTAATGTACTGTGTGAGCTGGAGGCTGATTGCTCCCCCATTTCCCTGGAGTCTGACTTGCCCCCCCTCTTTTCCCAGCACCCACTGCTCTGGTAGTTACCTCAGCACTTCTTGTTGGTTTGGCATTTCAGCCCTTGTCTTCAAATGCCTTAGGTCCAGGTGTCTGGAACAAGTTTGTTATCTCTTTGTTTCGTAGGCCAGCAATGGCCTCTTTTTCTTCTGAATGGTTCTGTATAGCATGGGTTCCTAATCTACTAGTGAAAAGAAGCCACTTTTGATTTCCCCCCGGTTTTACGATCATAGGGAGTAGAAACGGTTAAGGCTGTGCCAACGTTAGTGGCAGATAAGGAAATGGGAGGAAAGGTATGACTTGCCTGTTCCCCTTCTTTGAGAAGAGGGGTTAGGGAGAAGTTGGAGTTGGGGAGCTTGACTGCTTCCCTTCCCTTCTAAGAAATTTCTGGGCTGTTCAAAAGAACAGATGCCAGTGGCTGTAGCTTTGAGACCAAACAGGTAAAAGGCTAACTGGTTAGTTAAAATTTCAACCTTTGGGGGAACCTGGTTTTAAAGAAATGTAACTCAGGTTTATGTTTTCATTTTTTTCCTGGAGAAATGTATATATTAGCCATGCATACCTGATGAAGGTAGGCTAGAGCCATTTGGAGATGTTAAAGCTGGGATGGGTGAGTACGAAATAGCCTTGGAATACCTTTCCAACAACATGAGATTGTCATGTGATTGACTGTCCAGGCTGATATCCCTGAAATACCTGTCCCATTTTACATCACCCTTAAACTAGACCTTGACTAGCTTAGCTGTACCTGCCCTCATATACAAAGGTGTGATCTAAAAATACGGTGAATGTTTAAATAAAAGGAATTTCTTACAGTAAAAGACACATTGCCATTAATCTCTCTCAAAATACTCTCCCACGCTTTGAACACACTTATCCCATCATTTTTGCCACTTTCTGAAGCAGTTCTGGAAGTCTGTTTTTGTGACTGTTTAGTTGCGCTGTCATGGCCGCCTCGATGTTCGGAATCGATTCAAAACGTTTCCCTTTCATGGTCATTTTGACTTTGGGGAAGAGCCAGAAGTTGCACGGTGCCAGATCCAGTGAATAAGGTGGATGAGGACACACTGTAATGTTTTTATTTGACAGAAATCGCCATACCAGAAGCTAT